ATCGAACAATAACTAGACTTAATGAAAACCCAACAAAATCATGAACAGAATGAACAGATGCAAATATTTGCGTACCTAAACTTAAGATTAAAGCTCAATAACCACTTGAATTGAATTGATGAACAAAGGACTATTGATACCTCTTAGCTGCATGCGGCAATCGCTTTCAAAAATAAATACAAAATTTTTGAGCACCTCGTCGGTGCTGGACAAAATTGAAGGATATCCGCATTTGCGAATAAACCGGGCTCGCTGTCTAAGGAGAAAATGAACAAATTTTTGATTTATTTTTCAAAGCAAGACAACCATTAACCGTTTGTGGTCATATGCTTGATGAAACTCGTCGAATAATGAATCTATTATACGTATACTATTTTTAAGTGTTAAGCATAAGCATCGGCGAATGTCGGAAAGTCGTATACCCCATGACCGGTCGATTTGCCAAACTTTCAGCAAATATCTGTCAGAGGAAACGGAGTTTGCAATGTTTGCTGGATTTTGGAGATTGATAGGAAGTGGGTGGAACAAAAGGAGTTCACATCGAACATACAACATAAAATACAATTTACATAATCGTTATAATTATATTTATGAATGTTTAATAAGCCATTTTTGTAAATGTTCAGCTTTTGGCCAGTGTACAAGCTAAAAGCTGAACATCCTTATGAATAATGAATCGTGTTGTTTAATCTGTCATGTTTTGTCCCCACATATCTTGCTTGTTTTTGAATCCGAATTATGTTAGTTATGTTATCGTATCCCCATTACTCCACTCACACCATCTGCAAATTTCGAGAGCAATAGTTTTAATTACTTTTACCCTAAACAGCACCAGTTGATTAAGCGTTAAGTTGCGTTATGTAAAATGTATTTTGTCTAAGCCATCACGTTGGCCACAATGTGCATGATTGCTTCGCGATTTGCGATCCTAACCTAAGCTTAAGCCCCAGCGAACTGTAACCGTTGAAAGAAGTCAATCCCAGTATTAAATGTATAGATAGGGGCAGTTATGCGTAACTCCCATAATTACTAGACTCACAGATATATCGTGCACATTGTTTGCGCCACACAAGTTGTTCATTTTGTCAGAAGATTTTGCAGACCCAGCGATACGATACGAGCATATTCGTAGTCAGCAATTAATTGTGGGAGTGTAGCGGTGTCTGCTTTGCAAAATCTTCACAAAATTGATTGAAATTATTAATCTTAATGTGAGATGTATTCGCAGTGGCAACAATGCGTGAAGATCTGTTCATTAACACCAAATAAAGGCATACGAGTCAAGATGAGAGAACACATTTATTAGTCTTAAGCCTACACCTCCCCACACACTCACTAAGTTTTGTCTATCTGTAATGTGACACATAATCATGTTATGTGTGTTATGTCATTAAAACTCAAAAACCCCCAATGAAAATATGTAAAATGTAATTATACGAATAAAAAGTGAAATAAAGTTGGAAGTGAGGGTTTGATTGATTTGGGAAACTAATTCTTACACCAGATACGTATGCGAACCGAGATAGCAACACCAAGACCCAAAACCCCTAAATCGACAACCCATCGCCATTAAAAACAATGATTTATTCGGCCATAAATTAATTTATAGTCCCGCCTTTCCTGCCCTGCCCTACGCTGAAAATATTTGTGGCAGGTGGTATAATATGTAATAGTGCCCGAAAACCCCAATGGCTGCGTTTCATAAAATATCATAAAAATTAGGGAAAATTATATTTTTTAAATTCACAATCAAAATGCAAAGGCTGAGAGGCGGCCATAAACGTATAAATACATAAACGATTGTTAATGTGGCGAAAAAAACAAAAAAACCCTTTCGCAATCCGAAATCACAAACTGTAAACGGCTTAAATGCCCGAATCAGATTATGATGTGCCGACAGCTCTAGCTGACTAATCGATGACAAATGTCTATGCCAAATGGTTCAGACGGAAACCCATTCATTTTTCAAAATTTTTCAAGAGTTTTCGAAACTGTTTTCCCATTTGAAAGCTAAGAACACGGCTGACTCGCGTTTCATAGTTCAAAATCGTTTTCAGATGAATCTTTGAAACATAGAATTGTTGATCTTGCGTTGAAAATTCATATATTTGTGTTCAAGATCCTGCCTACAGTTTTGTATAGTTGATGTTTTAAAATATCCCATACAGCTCGATCTGGTCAACTGAGCGATGGGATGTGCCATGGTGCAGCTCCTCCACTTTCTCCGCTGGCATTTGGCTAGTTTTTGTGGCAATCGTGCGATTAAAACAAAAAGAAAACTACAAAAAAACATGAAAAAACAAACGTGTGGCCGGCAAATGCATAATAAATATATAAAATTAAATTAATGCCTTGCTTGCACATCAGCCAAGTCCGCCGATTCCCCTGCTTTCCGGCAAAATCAAAGCGATTCCGCGCCCGCCACTGTGTCCCTCCATTTGCATATGCATTTCTCTGGGGCGCTGGGTCTCTGAGTGTCTGGGTATCTGGGTGTCTGGGTCTCTGGGATCCCTGGAACTGGGAGCCACCATATCATACCAAATGTAATTTTCTGTCCCTCGCGCCTCTGATTAATTTATGGCGCTGATAATAATCCGGCAGAGCTATGGAGTAGCGGCGTGTGATTATGAAATTTGGTTTGCCAAAAGAAATCAATAATATGAGCGAGCGGCGGAAAGAAATGGGGACGCTGAAATAGAAACAAGATACAAGATACCAGATACCTGGTACCCGGTACCCGGTACCCGTACCTCTGAGATGAATCCAAATTAACATGTGTTTGTCAGACGCCGTTTGCCGGCATCTTAGGGTCCATCTGCATATATGGTATGTTGATGTGATGTAATGGGCGTTTGATTATTTTGATTTTTGTTGGTTTTTGGGCCGGGGAGCCCAAATCGTTGGAATTTTTCTTGGGGCTACGGAAATGGAGCTTCACACAGTTTTTGGCTCGGGCAATTAACCAAATCAATGCAAGTAATTTGATTTAGAAATGCCTACTAACCAACCAATCGGACATTTGCTTACATCACCTTCAAAGTTTGAAGCTAAAGACCATCACCTAATGCATTTATATAAATTGAAAGCGATATTCGGGAACTTTTTTCTCGAACGAAAGTGAAACTTGGCTGTTCACAGCGTTCGATTAGCTCACGAGTGTGTGCGTGCGTTAATTTTGATTTATTCGAATAATTTTGAAAACATTTTGTGTAATGCCGTGTTTGACATGCGTTTAGAAGCGACGCCCATCAGTCTTCGCCTTCGCCTGGTTTCTGTGGGAATGGCTCCACCACTTGGCTGATTTGCATGCTAAGCCCACTGTTTGAGCGCGAAACAAATGATTGAAGCCAACTAATGATGATTACCCATCCACTGTTGTCCACTGTTCCACTGCTCCCCAATCACCTGCTGCTCCCGCTATTCGAAAATTTGTGTTTGAATGTTCCCCCACCCCCAGCCGGCTGGTAATCGAATTAAGCCTCGATGAATACTTCGATGGATTGGTTTTGATTGAGACCCTCCTTTGCGGATTTAATGCATTCGGATTTGCATTTAATTAGCGTCGGATTGGAAATCATATCCATCTGGCAGATCCGAATGTCTGGCCATTCAAATATTGCTTTGCATTTGATGTTATGTCTTGGGGGTCTTTGGGTCTCATGGTGTATTTGTATATATATTTGGTAGATAAATATAGCTAAAAGTAAGTAGGAGCCTAAGAACGAGTTTAGAAACCAAGTTTTATACGATCGATCATTTATTCACCTTCTTTGTAAAATGAAAACATTAATAATAACTTAATAGACCGTAATTACAGGTCAGGCGGCTATGCCCTTTGCCAAATAATGAAGATATCCTATTAAATATCGAATTATGGATGAGTGTGGCACGTGATCTAAGCACTGAAAATAAAGGCACTTGTTTTATGTTCTCCCTGCCAAAACGAAGTGTATCGTGTTCTTGGCCACTGAGCTGGCAAATTCAGTTTTAATAACAGTTTAGAAGGCAAATCTTTTCTCGACAGCAGCGATAACCCGCAATTAAAGCCGGGCGAAATGATGATGTGCAGACTCAATAATTTATTTGACACGTGCAGGAAGTAAAGATATTGAGCCCGCATTCGCCGCAGGTGGAATATCAGAACACTATGGGAGTGTAGTCGAATCTATATGGCAACGGCCTTTAGTGGAGCAAGATGAATGATGAAAGGCGATGGGGCAGCAATTGCGTTACTTAATTTATGGAAAGAAAACACTCGCCACCAGCACAAAGGAAACACTTGGAAGCGAGCCGCAGACAAATCGTTTGCTTAATTTATTATGCGGAATAATTGAAAGAATTTGCCAGGTGATTATTTTGATTGTACCCATTCAAGTCAGCAGGCCGTTCATCATCCGATCAGCCGATTCCATCAATTGCCGCCACTGACTGCCAAGTGCTTGGGTTCTATGGCCATTGCATAATGATCAGCGTTTTCGTTGGTAGTAAGTAGGTGGTAGTTTGCATAAATACGTCTGGGATTTGGGACTGTGCGTCGGTAGAAATATAAATAAATATGATTAGTCAAATTGATCGATGTCCGACAATGGCGAACGGCAGGCAGACAGTGTTTGCTTTTATTCGCCTTCATTTAAACATTTATTTACTTGTTGTCTCGGCTTCAGCGGATTTGTCAAAAAATAACTAATTTGCCAATGAAAGAAAACATATAAAGTGCCATGTTCAGAGATAACACATAGCCAAAAGGCTTAGAAAGATACAAATTGGAGAAGTGTGAAGCAGATTCGATTGAACCATCGATCAGGAATACTCTTTTATACTGTTTTACCAACTCGATTTGATATGTTGTTTGCAGTTGCATTTTCATTAAACAATTTATAATGCTTGTCCAGAGACTTTGGGACGTTCAAGGCTAAGCTATAAATATTATACATTACTACGAAAATAATTTTCAAAATTAAACAAAGTCCATTTATACATAAGAGTGGTAACTATTTTGATTAAGTTGTGGTTGTCAAGGATTTTTTTATTTTCTGAATTAGCTGTAATAATAATTAGCCTGCAAAACATTACATATTATTGGCAGGGTATTACAATAAGAAAAAACCCGAATGTCTAATAGCGAATGCCAAACGAAGTGGTAATGATGGTTGATCTAGCCAAAACTGAAGCGTGCATAATTAAAACGTAATGTTGGACCGCCACCACCGCTGAATCCCCTGTCTTTGGCTGTCGAAGTCTTTATGGATGCATGTGGAACTTATGCAACACAGCTGTGGAAAGTGGGGAGCAGTGGGGATAGTGGTATACCCTAATAGCTAAGCCCTTGAGCTTCCTGCTTTCGAATAAACTCCTCTAATGCTCCGTCGGGGCTCCAGCTGCCGAAGAGGGCGTTTCCCAGGTCCAAGAAGGCTCTGAACAAGGCTGGATAATCGGTGTTTGGTCTGTCTACGGTGTCATCCTCCATGGGAATGGCTACAGCTGGGCTGGGCAGGATTAGTGCAGCGATCAGTGCTGCCAAAATGAAGACGACTGCAGCTCCGGAATGCATTTCAACTGGCGTTTAACTCGGTTGCAGTTGCATCACCGGTGCACTTTTTATAGGGATGCACACGATCATGTGGCACTGAAAGTTGCTGACCCACTTCTCAATGTTGCCACAGTTGCTGGCCTGTAAGTTAAGCCCTCGAATCGCACTTTTAGCATAGTAGTACACCTAAAAAAATCACTTCTAAATATTTAGATTCGCATTGTTTGTGTAAAACATAAACATTAGTACTTATGTATATGTTAAACATCATTTGTCTGAGTCTTTCAAGAAACAAAGTACCTGTGAAAGATATATTTTATATTTCAGGTGCATGGTATATTCAGGTAAATTTCTCAGTGCATGGCAAATATTTGGCCACTTGTTCGACACGTTTATCGGCGAAAATAAAAACATGGGAAAAAACATTTAAGCGGATCAGGGGCAGATATTGTGGCAAACAATTTTTCAGCTTGTCCGCTTGCTGGATGGCGCTCAAACTAAAATATGTAGAATGCTAGCCAAGGCGTTCGATACGCGTGGATCTTCAGATACTCAGATCTTCAGATCTTCAGATCCACGCTCACATGACATCGCCAACGCCAACGCCATCGCCATCGCCATCGCCATCGCAATCCATCAATCATTTGGCCAAAAGAGCCCGAGAGCCAAAAACGCGCCTCAAGTGCAGCTGCTTAGCAGCGCTTAATGTTAATTGATCGAGCTTTTGTTTAATTAAAATTTTAGATTTGGGTCACACGATACTCAAACGCGGTCTAAGGTTCCTATGCGGAAGTCAGGCCCCCTTGTTTGGGCTCCAACATCCTCTTGCTTCTAAACATACCCATTCCCCCATTTATCCAGCGGCCTTAGCCGCTTCATAAACTTACACGATAAATTATGCGGCACTTGGAAGGAATCTGGCAACAACCCGATTTTTCAGTCCGTGTGAAAACCGAATCGAAATGAAAACGAAAGCGTTTTGGATGTGTACAGTAGAATATCGAAAGAAGAACCCTTAAATGTAGCTTGTTCATTATTACTTTTATGCCGGACACAAGCATTTTTTACTTTATTAAACTTCGGTTTTAATTAAATAAAAACAGTTTAGAAGTAGAGCAGCATATCTATGAACATCATTAATTATTCACATTCCTAGTTAATTAATTTTTGACATCTTTAAATACATTTTCAAGGTCATCCCCTCTTAAGCATAAGTTACGCTTTTGACCTAGTAAGAAAACACTTATACACCTTTCTGCTAAGTTCAATTTTCTCATTCAGAGTCCCCACTGTGGTTTTATATCCCATGCAAACACGCCCTCAAGGAAGATAGTTGACAACTTGTGGCTGGCCCCTTTCTTTTGTGACTTTTTATTTTTATGGACAGTATCCAACTGATACTGTTATGTAGGCTGGCAGCAGCAACATTTTCGGCAGCAGCAGGTTGTCACCGGTTTCCCAGCAGCAACATCAACCTCATCACCATCACCATCACCATCACCATCATCATCATCATGATCATACGCAATCGATTGGGCTATTGTTGGTGTTTTGGTTTTGGTTTTGGTTTCGGTTGGGCTTGTATCTTCTGCTTTGACGCATACCTCGGGGTCTGAATGTCTGGTTGTCGCTGTTGATTTTGGATGCTGCTGCTGCTGGCCGAACTCTTTTCGGCCAAAATATTTCGATTACCTTTGGATGGTCGAGTTCAGTTCAAGTTCGCGGCTCGAACGGTTCAGTTTGCCTGGTTTTTCCGCTCCGCAACCGGTGTCTATTGAGTGAACAAGGATAATCCCAATCGACTGGCAGGATAATGCATTAGTTTCGCTCCAGTGAATGTGAAGTTGTTTACCTAAAGTATTTCAGTGCTAACAAAATAAAAAGAAAACCGAAAGCGAAATCAAATTAATATTCGGTCCACTCCATTCGTTAATTCGGAGATTCAAAAGGTAAAAATGAGACTGCATGGACAACAAATACAGATAAAATAACATGCCAAATGCGAACAATTAATATATACTCATTAAAAAGCTGAGCATGACAAATGTCAAACGCCCACCAAGTTGAAAAAGCTTCAAATGCAGTAAGCTCATTTATGATATATATACATATATATACATATATGGATATTCTGATAAATTAGAGTGGAATCGACTGTTTTTAACCGACAGATTAAAAACGTGTACAGGAATGGTGATATTATTGAGAGGCTGACTTATAAAACGCTTTATAATAGAACAAACTGTTTGCCTTTTACATACTGTTCAAGTGCTATTATATTGGTTCCCAACTTTTAGGACCATTATTTTTACACATATCTCAGTACAAATTTTCAGTCGCTCTACTTTGACCTATATTTTTGAATAGAATGCCAGAACTTTTAGAATTCCATTACTAGCTAAGGAGCTCATTTTTCATCACTTATGCGAAAGTAATGATGCCAAATCCGTAAATGATATGTTTACATAGCAAACTTCTCGACCTCTTGAAACGAAATATCTAAACGGATATAGAAACGGCAAATCATGGAGCACCCGAGATCGGCGAGACAGCCAGAAGTGGCTCACTCTCCATCTCGTGGGTTACGCACCAGATTTACGTCATCTGTCCATATCTGAGCAAATTCCGAATTTGCTGGCTTTTCACATCTGTGGGGCAAGATCGTGAGAAGGAGCATCCAAATGGAGTATGACATGGCAGGCGGAACAGACCCGGGCCGCGATAGAGATCAAGCTATAAATACATATGGGTATTCAGTCCTGAGACAGCAATCAATTCCGCTGGATGACACCCAACGATGATGGGCTTGTCGGCGCCATGGAGCCAAACTTAGAGATTCGCTATAATTAAATATCCGACTGGGGTAACCCGTTCTAGTGATATCTGTTCAAGATTTATGGTTCACTGCGGTTCGGCTCGAAAACGTGCTGCCAATTAATTTGCACCAGGCTCAGTTAGAGTTCATAAAAAGTAATGATCGAGGCATTTGAATTACAGCAACTAATATATATTTCGGTTGAACTACCAACATTTGATGTGTCTATCCATTCTCTTTTTTGTTTCATTTTCAATGCAAAGACTGTTATCTGAAATTTTCCTTCCCTGTTCTTGGCTTCTTGTTTGAGGCTCTCGTCTTAATCATCGTTTGTCTGGCATTTTAATGTTTTGATGGATCATTGAAAACAATGAGAAGTAAAACATTTTCTATACCGAGTGCTTCCTCGTTGTCGGTTGTATTCGGATCTCGTGCTTTGCTCTTGATATTGACCCTGAAAGTGTCGAATTGTAAATGGTTTCTGTAACGCGACTGGTCATCTTGGGCATTCCAAGATGAGTACATCTCATGGAGAGGTCATTTTCCATTTTCCCCACGACATTTGCATATCGAGTGTGTGTGAATGGGAACAGCTTCTGGCTGAAGATGGATCATTAAAATTCAATTAGATGTCGCTTAGATAGTCATTATAGAACTGGCCAGCTTACAGTTTGTTGACTTGCGGGAAGGTTATTGACTGCCGGGGAATGTCAACGGACCAATGCAATTATACTATGCTTGTAATTATGGTCTTTCAATTGTTACATCATCAGCAAATCTTATATAAACGATAGAGTTATCATTGCAATTAGACAATTACAGTTTTTTTCTCCAAACAATAGGAGCCGTTTAATTGTGAACATATTTTTAGCAGCCACTATTCGATTTCATTTTAGCCAGCTTTGAATGTCTTCAAGTTGCACTAACCAAATCAAATCTTTGCAAACAATTGCCACTGAATATTTTCATTGAACAGCTTGTGGAGTGTTTTCTATACGCTTTGCTTCCTTACACAGCAATCAATGCGAACAATTAGAGGTAATCATTCAGGGTGAAGACAAGTGAAGATGAACCGTGTGAAGAGTTCGTTGCCTAAGTCTTTCGTTTTAATTTGCATGAAATATGAAATGTATCTGTTTCTGTAGCTGGATCCAACTCCGCTGTCAGCACATATCATTCGGAAAACATAATAGCTCCAAATGACCTCAGCAGCCGATCCAAAAGCCATCGAGAATTGATCGCTCGAGTGTTTAACTGGAAGCGATGCGAATACTTGATTTCTGTTTGCGTTTAGTTTCGATTTGCTTTGCTTAAATCGGAATTAGCCACGTTCTAATAAGGCTCCACTATGATTTATAATCGTTGCCCCATCACTTATATAATTCCAAGTGATTAATGGTTGTTATGGTAAGGAAAGAAGTTTTAAACACTTCATATTGATCCGATATCGATCTTTAATGTTGAAGAGGCTTAACATTTAGATCAAGCTAGAATTTCAGGGTCACCTGCTGCCTCCTTTTATTGGTAAATCAATAGATAAGCCCAATCGAATTTAATTGCCATTTGATGAACACACTTTGCCGTAAATGGTCCGATCTGTCGACATACCCCACGCGAATATATTCGTACAAAAAAGTTTGCAAAAAAGTCATCGTCTATCTGTAAATTTTGATTTTTTTTGTGGCATTTGTTTGGGTAAATAAATCATTCAGCATCCGCTCGATTCGGTTACGTGGGGCCTATGGACACGCCTCGCTACCAAATATATGTTATATGGTAATCTTCGGCCACTTACGTGTTTCCGTTGTCCGCCGCATTTGTATGCAAATGGGCCAAAACACACATTTTAATCAATGAGTTTCGGTGCGATTCATGGTTTATCAATCAGCCTAATGAATAAAGTGTCGCAAAGCGCCGCTCACGAATGTCACAATTAATACATTTACATTTTTTCAATTTCATTTTCCCCAGCATGTGGCCACCCAGCCCCTGTCTGTGGTTGGCTCTCGTCCTCCTGGTGGGTGGAGCCCAGGGCCAGAGCGGCAGTCGAGAGCACTTCGAGGATGCGGACAAGTCCAGCGAGTACACGGATCAGCAGTACGACCTACGGCACACGATTCCCGGAGAGCCGGGCCTAGATTATCCCATTCTAAGTGCCCCGCCAAAGACCAGCTTCGTGTGCAAGGGAAGACATGAAGGTGGGTAACTAAATGGATTAACATC